TGAACTGTAGACTCAAAGGTGTCCAGATGGCTTAAAGCTATATCTATCCTTTTCGTAGTTAAACTTAAACTGAGGCAGAAGTCTAAGTAATATCTATGCAATAAGTCATATGTATTGTAAAACATTTCAGTAAATACCACTTTAAAACTTAATATGCATGGGTGTCCAACCTTTTGACCACATAAAATATACAATAGTGTATGTAAGTAACAAAAATTATTTTACTTTTTCATATTTTTTTATTGAAATGTAAAAAAGAGGGCAATAAAACCATAAAACTAGCAGGTTGGACACATATGCTTTGTAGCATTTTATATAGAGAGATGCTTCAATTCCTCTGTTCCTAATCGATGTATATCTAGAAAATCTATTGCAAATTGCACAGTTTGCTAAACAGAAAAGATACTGAAAATTTACTTTGTACATTAACTTTTCCTGCCCATTAATCTAAAACATAGTAAAAGAGAGACGACTAAAATGAGAGAAACAACTTGAAAATGTTGTGCCAAACACTTACCTTTCAGAGACTGAGAATGTTCTTCTATCTAGATTCAACCTATTGTAGATTCACATATTACTAATAAAATTATACATATTAATAGACTTCTATTAAGAAAACAATTTCACACTCTTTTTGGACACACTGTTAGTTACAACTCCTTAGCTAATCATTATATGAATATTCCACTCAGAACAAATCCATCTTTCTTCACTCAAGCTCTCTCAAAATTTTTCAAGTCTTAAGAACCAGATTGAAAGCAAGTTAAAAGAGAAAAACAAAACAAAACAAAACCCTCTACTTTTAAGAAGTTGAATCAATTTCCAAGAGACTTAATCCTTAGAATATTGTTAAGGCTTTGTAGGGGTTTAGATTTTGAAAGTAATAATGTGTGTAGATCAGGAATAAAGAGTGATGTCAAAATGCTACACGGAGTTAAGTTTGCAATTTTTTTTCCAACAAAAGTTAAAGGATAAAGTGTTTTTACTATTTTCCTTAAGTTATGTGCAATACACTTATTGATAAACCTCATTACAAGGGTGGAAGGACTTCTGCTTCATGTTACCTTACACTGCAAGATGCTAAGGGATATTGTTCAACTCCTGCTAGATGCCTCATAGTGAGCTGAGTCCCAAGGCATTTTCTTTAAATTGTCCATGGCACCAGTAGCCTAACAAGAAGCAAAATTATCCATGTATGGTATCCTATAGTGGGAATAAATAGGTTGAACATGGAAATCTACTATGACTAGTCAACGTAGCCATTTACTTACATAAGTTATTTTTTATTGTTTCACTGCTTTCATTTTGTGGGAAAGCAGATATGGACACTGCTGATTTGATCTGCCTTAGCTAAGGATGTGCATATGCTTTTACAGTGCAAAAGTCTCTGATTATGGCTTTCTCAGAGCCATTGCAGGAGCCAGTATTTGCCCCAAGATATATTTCCACATAGCAATAGGCACCAGGGCACCGCGGAAACAACATTCACTATGTTACTAAAACTTAATTAGGGAGAAAAATGCTTTGACTACTTCAGTACTCCATATCATTATTCAGCATGGAGAACTCATTTGCTAAAACATTCAGCAGAACCTTACCTGGTGAAAACAGTAGGCTATTGCTTCCTCTGCAAGAACAAGATAGTTGCAATTTCTGCTTCACACTTGCTGCCCTACTTCATTGCACTTGCAGCATTAGTTTTACTGGCAAGTACCTAACATGCAACTTAGGAAGCGCCTTCTCTTTAGTTACTGTCAATCACTTAAAGAGAGATATTCACATTGCTAGCTTTGATCTCCCTATTCTTTAGAAAGAAAATTTGAAAGTGTTGATACAAATGGATTAAATCACATTTGGCTGAATCAAATAAACTGTAAGCTTTACTACTTACTAGGAAAAGACCAGGGAAGTAATGTTCTTACCTAAATTAGGTTTAGGCTGATCTATGAATTGAGCAGTTTCAACAAGAGTCAGACTCAACTCCACAATTAAGGAGATTTCAGATCCCAGATTTCACAGCGACAAACAAGCTCAAAGGGCTCTGCTGGAAATCACATTCTCCTCTAATCTGAGTAAAATTTATCATTTTTGTCATGACTGAACCAAACCAGGAACTAAATTCCTTCTTTTCATTGAAATTAAATATGAGGCAGGGTAAAAAACTTCACTTGATGAGTTTTGCCATCTTGTCTACTACTCCAAACACTCCTCTTTCTTTATTGAACTTGTGATTCTTTGATCTAAGGTTTAGACCTACAGTTTATTTTTGCCCATCTTATTCTATAATTTTACATAAACTAAGCTAGGGCCTCAAACAATCTACGCTGTGGTTGGTAGAAGCTCCTCCGCTGACTTACATAGTGGATTAGTCTCTCAAAAATATGAAAACTGTCTCCTCAATTTGACATTTGAGATACTCAGTTGATTTTCTAAATTTGAACTTAATATCAGTTTAGCACTCACGGTGAAGGGTATTTTTTCACAGAGAAATTTACAGCTGAAATAATATGAACTGTCTCTATTTAAAATCTCACAACAGAAGTTATTGTTTAAAATCCCTAGATGTCTTTGATTCAGAATTTAGGGGGATTAGAAGAAGAGGTATTTCTGCATGATCTGTGAATTCAAGGATTGTTTCATCATTAACATGTAAATGTTAATATCTGTCCACAAGTTTAGGACTTTTTAATTAAAAAAAAAAAAGAAAAAGCAACTTCAAAAAGTGGTCTTGAAACTTACATATTTCAGGAATGCAGCAAGTCAAGGAAAGGGAAGATGCCCTCTGAGACAAAAACCAGTACACTGCAAGTCAATTAGATTTTGACCTTCTTCAACTATAAAGGATTGGAAGACAAACATTGTTTGCTACTTGCCAGAATTAAATTGGGTCTCCTGAGATGCATATGAAGCAATTTAAAAAAAGAAAAACACTGTTAACTGGATTTACTCAACTATCAGTCTGGAGTAAACCTTATTTACCATATTCATCTATTACAGCAATATAATCTTTCATGTTTTAATCAGAGAAAAATGACATTTAATTAGTGTTACACTGCCAAACACTGAAAAAGTTCCTCTATCTACACATTCAGGTAGGCCATCATTTCTGAGTTTCACCACAGCAAGTCCTGTATTTTATGCTTCCACTGACCTAAGCAGGACTGTTTTATTAATTCAACTCCCTGGCCCACTTACTGGGCAGGAATAGGCTCCCTTCTCATAATTTTATATCTTTTGGCTAGGCTTCCTTATGCTCAGGGAACTGACACTATCTCTTGTTTTGAATCCATGCATTTAATTTCCTCACATATGTTTATTTTTTAAGGAATAGTTGAAAGACAGAGATTAGAGAAGGAAAGAAGGAAGGGGAAAGGAGAGGAAGGGGGAGGAAGGATGAAAGTGAAGAAGAAAGGAAGGAAGGAAACAGAGAGAATGAAAGAAGGAAAGAAAGAGAAGAAACTGTGTCACTAATTTACAGATCTAACCACATGAACAGGAAGACAAAAAAAAAAAAGCTCCGTAACACGAATTCTTGTCATGCTGTCCTTTCTGTTTTTCCATCCCAGCAAGAGTTTCAGAAACTTTCACCTGTTAAGTAAATTCAAATTATGACTAAAGAATGTCTGGCTGTGCTTTGTAGATCCTGTAGATCCCCAAGATCCTGAAATTAAGCAGTATAGTTTTATGATAACATACCCATTTCTGCCCAAATTTCCAGTGTCTGTCTTCTTTCACCCTCTGATTCTTTCACACTCTGCTTTGTAATACTAACCATTACTGTTCTGATGGAATCTTTGCACTCCCAGCCTCATGCAGAAATTAAAGATAACGAATTTCATCTTGAACATGACCATCCTATTGTATATCTACCGGTGTGGTGACTGCTCAGATTTGACGGTTCTTCTGTGCTTTGGATCTTGAGGAACATGGCAGAGTTGTGACACTGTATCGTAGATTCTACATTCCAAGCCCTTTCAATGATTAATGATTAATTTTCCTCAATATTTTTTTTTTTTTTCTCCCAGTGCCATACACAAGTATTTAGTCATTAAATCTTTACTTCATTTACACATGTATGGGCTGAATGCCCTGGCATGACCTTATATGAAGTACGTAAGACCATAATACACATTTATTGAAAAGTTTATTGATCAATGTCTGAATGCTTATTTCTTTTAGCATAATACTAAAACAGATTTTTTTTTTTTTTTTGGGGGGGGGGGGGGGGGGAAGGGGAAGAAAAGAAAAAGTTGGTAAAAAGGAAATAGGTTATTAAAGAAATGCTTAGGAATTCTCCAGCAACGACCTGTAGGCATAAGGGAAAACTCATTGTCAAGTATGATTTATGAAAGCTTATTAAATTTACTTTACATAACCAGGAGGTAGACTAGTACACTAATACCCTATTCGACATAAATCCTCATGGAATACAGTGCATCCATTATGCAATAAAAAGGCTAATTTAACTTGTCACAACACAGATCTGAATTAATGCAAAAGTCAAAAGGCTCCCAATTTTTCCTATTAAATACAAATGTTGGGTGATAGCTTAGCAATTTCTACTATTCGATTAGTTTTTCTTGACTTGTCACATAAAAATTAGCAACTAAGTGTGCATGCAAGAGAAAATTACTGCATTTGAATGAATATAGATCTACTACCAAAAGAAAATGCACTGTACACAGTGACATTTCAGACCAGTCTTTTTATGTTATGCAAAGATGCATTAATTTGGCCCTTTTTATTATAAAATTGCAGTTAGTTTCAAAACATCACTTTCTGGCAGAGTTTTTGTTGGCAGGTCACTACTCTCTTGCATTACTGAGAACTGATAACATTCCTTTTGGCCTACAAATGCCAACTCACCTCTGCTCATACTACATGCTTCTCACTCAGTCACAAACAGTTAACAGCTGAAAGTTTACACTGCATATAAAATGTGTATTTATATACGTACAAACACATATATGCACACACGCTGTTGAAACTGTATCCTGTTCTGATCCTAAACTGGCAGGTGGTCTTGAGGAACAGTGGGAGATTCTTGTGAAGAATCTGAGATTCCTTGCTGCTGTGTAGCAAAATTAATGAATATCTGTAAGACAAGAAAGAAGTAGAATTTTCAAAATAACAATATTTGAACAGAAAATTCAGAGACATGGCTAGTGATTTTTTTCACCTGCTTTTCTGACACAAAAATTAATAGTTTATTCTTGATTCAGATGATCATATTCATGTGCAAACAAACTTGGAGTGAATAACAAGGATGTTTATTATTCAAGAGAACTATTTAAACTGTGACACTCATTTTGTCTTGGGGAAGAAGTAATAGTAGGTGACTGAGGTGATGAATCACCATGAATAATGCAGAGAAGTAAAGCTTGCATGAACTATTCCTGATCATCAGGCTCAAATCACCTTATATTCATCCATTCTGTGAACAGATAATTCAAAAGCCATTAAAAAGATTAGTACAAATCAGAATATTTCATTAATGATTTGCACAAGGGTAAAAGGAATAACTTCACACCATTTATCATACAAAATTAATATTTTGACCAAATGCAAGTCCTTCAGTTTGCAGAATACACAAGAAGTTACATGCAAGATGCTCAAACACATCACAGCAATTCAGAAATGTCATCCTTGCTATTGATTTCTTGTTCCTTCTGCCCAAATAGGATTTCACAGTCACTAATAGCAGGATCTCTTCAGTCTGCTTGTGCATTTCTACTATGCTCTATTGTGTATTGTAGTACTGCAAAAGAAAACCCGCAAAGGAAAATGGCCTGTAAGCCTAAGATTTACTGTGATTATCAGACTTGTTCAGTCTTTTGAAGGGCATTAATAGGATCTCAACTATGTGTGGCGGTGGCAGTTCAGAGTCCCACCCCCTCACCCTGCACAAATCAGATGTATTTAAACAGTGATTAAGCTTGCATTCATAGCAAATATCATAGAACCATAGAATTACAGAATCACCAAGATTGGAAAAGATCCAGTCCAAAATCATCCAGCCCAACCATATACGCGCCTTCTCATGTTGTTTTGTGCTTATCCACAGTGTAAGAGCAATAAGGTTAATGTGATTACTGTGTAGACTTGAGATGGTCTGGAACTGCTGAAGAAGAAGAAAATACCTGCTCCAGTGTAGTTTGGCTAATGGAATAGTGTTTGATTTGGAGAAAAGCTTTGTAGTTCTCTAGGACTCTGAAGAGCTCAGCTAGGCATCCCTCACTTCGTGGTATATGGTACTCAAGCAGGTTAAGATGTTGTCCCTTAAAAGAAGCAAAACCAACAAAAATACATAAAGGTGACTATATATGATGATGAAGTTGTGCTTGCTATGACCAGACTGGTCTCAGTAGGCTCTCAAAGCTACATGAAACATGAAAAACATGAGCTTTTAAACAAGAACATATTTTGTCTCCTTTGGCAGCAAAATGAAATGTTCATACTGAAGACACACATTTTGTGTTTTGAGATTGCTTTTTGTTAACTTAATAAAAGATATATAAATTTAGGACACCTTTATGCTATGTGCTTTAAATTCAACTGATGGTAGTACCTATATAGTCATCTGAGAAGAAAATCTAAATCTATTTGTTTACCTGCAAGCCTACCCATACACATGACTATTCTGACTACACACTATTTCAATAATACAAAAGGAAAAAAATACTGGATCATCTCACCATTATGGCAAAAAGTAGCTGGTATTTTAAAAAGGGAAGGTTTCTGTAAATCTCTGGACTTTATTTGAGCTTTTGTATATCACATATTGCCTTTGATTCTTGCACTGAACTAACAAAGAACAAATGTAAAGAAAGGATATTTTATAATGCAGTGGGGTAAGATATAAAAGAATTCTTACTAACAATTTCTGCAGTAGGATGCTCATCATCTTTAAAGAAAAAATCAACAACAAAACTTAATTTCAACCTGACAGAAGTCTCTCTCTCTCTTAATACTATTCATTTACTGATAAGCTTCCTGGAAAAAAAAAATTATATATTTAAAAATTCATATATAGTGTGCACTTTTATATATATATGTGTATATATTTAGATAGATAGATAGATATTATATTATATATCTATTATATAAAATATATATAACATTTATATATATATGTATATGAATATGCACAAACATGAATAAACATATGTGCAAGAAGGTTCATAACTAAGGCATTCATAGTTTCACATTTTTTTCCTAAACAAAGGTAACAAATTAAAAAAATAAAAATTAAGAATTAAAGTCCTTTGAAATCTAATTACTGTAGGTCTTTTGGAAGGTTCCATATCAAATAAAACAATCTCTTTAAAGACTGAGAAACCAATCAAAGCAAGTGCAAGTTCAACTTGGTCCACAATAAAATCAAAGAGAATTTATTACTCTGAGAAAGGACCTATATATTTATGCTGCTTGAAATACTTCGGAATTGATTTAATCAATATCACAAGTCAGATGTGTAACAAATGCTTAATAAGAAAATGAAAGAGATGCTCATGCATATTTTCTTCAGAAAAATCAATGTATTTAAACACATATAAACATGGTTCTTATCAGCCCACTCTTAATCTTGCCATAAAATAATTACTATAATGAGGAATTTTAACTGTACCTTAAATTGTGCTCCAGGAAAATGCAGCTTTAGACAGTCCAAAATCATTCTTCGATAGCTTATTTCTTTGCTAAGCCAAACTTTGACAGAATAGCCATCTCCAAACCTGAAAATTATATGCAGAAATATAGACTCATTTGTCTACACTATGAAGGCAGCAAGAGCACTCATTTCAATTAATTTTCCTGTAACGATTATGGCAAATAAAACACTGTGTATCCCTACTGCATTATCACTGGGATATTACCACTTTAATATTTACTGGCAGGCAATGATTTCAATGAGAGAGTTGTTAAATTAATGATAACAAATAGAAACAAACAATAAACCCAAGCTAAATCCCTAGGTTTTAATTAGAACACTACGTTTCATTACACAATGTACTGTACATTAAATGAACTATACGTTAATTTTGGCACTACAAAAAAACTATGACAATTACCTATCATAAACAGAACGAAAATCCTTTATTTTAACTTTCCTAATGATGTGACAGCTCAGTTAGTATTTCAGCAAATGTGCGCACAATATGTTTTTGCACATACATAAAATAAAAATTTATTTAGGTTGATGGCAAAGTTAATGAATATACTTAAGCTCTATGGCCACACAATCTGTCTCATAGAATAATTTTGGAAATGAATTTCTCTCTCAATATACATGTGATAAAAGTTAAGTACAGCCAATCTAGCCAACACATTTTTTATTAAATTTACTCCCTGCTAATATATGTAACTGGGGAAGTTCCAATAAACCTATCAACGCTGAAATGAGCCTCATGTATGTTGCGTAAGTGGCAGAAGTAATGCAGCATAGGTTCAAGGGATTTCATTCCCCTGGCTCCAAACTGCATCTATTCCCATGAGTAATGGAAAGGCAGAGCTGAGAGGAGGACAAGAATTTCTAGCTGCATGTCCACATCCTCCCAAGAACCTTTCAGTTCCCCTGTATTCCCACTCCAGCACTCTCACATCCTTCATGCCAATGTTATTTCCTTTTATTTACTCTCCACCTGCACAATTACTCAACCCCAAATCCCTTGCTGTAGTTCTTCTGTTTCTAGTAACTTTCCTCCGTTATCCACAACAGCACTCCTTGCTGGCTAAACCTGCTTATTCGTGGTAGTGACTGAATTAAATGGGTCTGGCAGGATTGAAGCACATTTTCAGGTGATCAAATCTTTATGATGCTGCTCTTCTCAAATACAGAAATTAATGTCTACAGAATCTCAGTCAAAATGTAACAAAAATAGTATGGGCTATTTGGAGATGTATGTCCTGTTCAGCCACTAAGTAACTTTCAGCTAAACACTTCATATGAATATCATTACATCCCTCATCAGCAATGCACATGCAGCAGTATAAGAGGTTTAACTTCTATTTTGTTCAGTATCAGAATCTCCATTATTATAAAGCTTTTGGTTGTTTTGTCTTTTACTTTCCTTTTCTTTTTCTTTCTTTCTTTTCTTTCTTTTTGATTTTTGGTTGGTTGGGTCATTTTATTTGTTTTTTTAGTCAAACATAACCATGGACCCACTTGAAATGTAGTAAGAAGATCCAATCCTGATGCAATTTTATTTGTTTCTTCTTGAGGGATGATCAGTGAGTTAAATTATTTCCAGGCCAGTCTGTGGGGTACCAGCTGTTTGCTGCCCAGTGTGACCTGGCAGAGGAATGGTGTTGTTACACCAAACAGATCCACAACAAGGTGAAATCCAAAACAGCGGCTGGCTGGTTTGCTCCATAATTATTTAATAAAAAAAATTCATCTCTAATTATATCTTTTAAATGCATAGTATCATCCCTGCAAAATATGTGTGACAATAAAAAAGATATTACAAACAAGGATATAGTTAACAAGAATGTTCAATTCAGATGACAGCCAACTTGAGGCAATGCTTTACAAGAGATCATTGATTCTGATCAATTTTCTGGCATTTCTAGCCATCCGCTGCTGAATCACAGTTTGAAAAATACTGGCTTATGGAGGTGTTCATTGGTCTCATAAAATGAAATTGTTTCATGCAATGAAGTTTCCAAAGAAAATAAATCAAAAGTCTGATTAGCATAGACTAATAAGCCTGTGCAACTGTTTCAGTTCTAGATTGTGAATGGCACAAACACCAGCTCAGTCCAAACATAAAACTTTAAAAGATTAGTCTTCTGGCCAATCAAATTATAGTTCTTCTATATCTTGATTTTACAATTCTTTTCAGCTCAGCAACTCCCTACACAGAGTAAGCTGATCAGAAATAAACATTTCCCCTTGCTATAATCAGCAAGATGCTTCCAGTAGTAAACTGAGGCAATGGAAATTGAGTTGACCATTTTTTTCCACTGTTTTCCTCTCTAAATCAGACAATAATTAATTCAGAAACCAAAACTGGAATTACGGAGTAAAGCACAATCTGGTTTGAATAGCTCTGTTAGGATTGAACCTGTAACACCTAATAGTTCAAAACCTATGTAGGGAAACATTACCATGAGAATGGCATAAGTTGAGCCAGCACACCTGTTCAGCAGCCATCTGTTGCAAAAGAATCACAATTTCTTCAAAGCTATTTAATGAAGATATTTTCCATTGCTTATTTCTATCATAGTACTTTAACATCACCTGTATTTTTATTTGTATATATGCATACAGAGACACAAACACATATTCTAATTAAAATATTTTTCCTCTTTATCATTGCTCTTTTCTCTTTCAGCCAAACTCATTTTTTTACTTGTCTTTTGGATCTAATGATGTTGAGTGTTTTAACTACTACAATGCCACCATAAGACCAAAACAAATATCTAAATTGCCCAGCTGATTTTAAACTGGTATATCAACAGCAACATCCTGTGAAGCATGAACTTAGTAAAAACTACAAAAAATGCATCCAACTGTTCTCACCTGTAATTGTACAGGCCGCAAAGCTCATTGAGCCACTCAAATAACAAGAGAGAAAAAGGAGCACAATATGGCAAGGAGGAATAGAAAAATTTCCATATCAGGATTTATAAAACGGGCTAAAACTTTTCAGATGACTGGATGGTAGAAGGGCGTTTTATAGAACCCCACATCATGACTGGCCTAGACAATACAATTAAGGAATACTTCTCCACTCTTCTATGTCACTGTTTTTCATGCAAGATTAAGGGGTATCAAATTGAATTAGAGGGAAGGCAATTCAAATTCAGTAAGAGGAAGTAATTTTCTGTACAGCACACAGGAAAATTGTGGGACTTATTGTCACAGAATGTGCTGGATGCCAGAATTTGACATGAGTTGAATAAGAGATTAGGTAAATTCATAGGGGGAAAAAATCCACATTTGGCTTAGGAATAAGCAGCTAATTACTGAAGGCTGGTTGAGTTATGTGGAAGACTATCTTAATGTGTTTGTCTTGTCCTCAGTCTTTTCTCTCCTGGAGATATTACTGAGTGGGAATACTGTGTTAGATGAGTCTAGAGACTGACCTTGTAGCTGATAGTAAGAAATAAAGCAGAGGTCTCCCTGGGCTAATCGCCCAAATGGTTTCCCTGTTCTGAAAAGGGGTTTGCACTTTTGATGTAGTTCCACAGCCATGATGCCATTACTAGAAGGATAGATAGCATAACACTAGTTCAGTTGTCTCCACACAACATGCAGTTACAGAACTGTAGTGATGAGCAAAACCCCTGACTGCTTTCTTAGGGCTTCTTCAAGTCATGCCATGGGAATGGAAGTGGATTCAGTTGCCCAAAGGTTGAAAATTGTTACAAATAACAAATAGAGGAGATACCTCGGGAAGCAAATCAAGAAATGCTAACTTCACAGTGTCCGTCTCTGGGACAAGTTGCTAGAACACAGTGTTTTGTGGCTGTTCAGATGAGCCTACCATTGAGTGGTCACGTGGCATTCTTAGAGGTACTAACCCAGTGTTTCCCAAAGCTAGCCGATGACATTCTGTTCTCTGTGAAAGGTAAAGTTCATTATCAGCACGATTCTATTTGCTGTACAATAGTGTGTATTTTCCTTGAAAACTCTTAGGAGCTGCTTGATCTCAAACAAACCTTACCTAATCTAGAAACCACTGTTTTAATTTACAGCAGAGTCAAAAATGATTAGTTCCCAGAACACATTCTTTCCAAATCCCTATCCCAAAACTGCTGAAAGAAACCTCAGCAAAACACGAGCTTGGCCTTATTTCTTGATTATCAGTGAATAAGCAAAGCATCATAAATTTTAGCACAAATACGTATGTATGTATTTCTATATATAAGTGTATGTTTATAAGAATATACATCAAAAAATTACAGCTCCCAGAAAGTTTACCAGTGGAAATATACTGTGCATAGTTTATGCATGTACTAGTCTGATTGATCAAAAGATTACTCCAAAATGGCATTACTGAATAACAAAAAAATAATAAAAAGAACATTGCCACTTAACATCTGAAAGGAACTGCATCTTCCAGAATATATGCCATAAATCAAAGTGGGGGAATAATTTGTTACTGAGCTGTGCACCACAAGGCTTCAGTTTGCATTCATTTGCAGACAGAGAAGGTTCTACTTTTTGTAAAGTCTCATCGAAACAAGCTAACTTAGTTATTCCAGTATGATTGTTCAGGCACAGGATACAGATTCAGGTCATTCCCCTTGCAACTCTAGAAAAAAATACAGCTTATAAAAAGAATAAAACTTAAAAAAGCATCAAAAATAAAAGCAACCTCAAAAAAACATTGGAAAGAAAAAGTATTAAATTGAAATAAAATGAATTACAAAAAAAAAACAATTTATGATAGTTCTCAATCACAAAATAAACATAATGATTTTATCTGTTAAGTGGCAGATAAATACAATATCTAGGAAGGAAAAAAAGGTTTCTAAATGTAAGTAAAACAAGTGTTTTAATTTTTAAATTAATATAAAATGCAAAAATAATGTCACTTGTAAAATGCAAATTCTTTCTGTTGTTATTCAGAACAAACAAAAAACTTAATTAGATACAATAACAGCTAACTTATAGAGTCTATCTTCCATGTGCTATTCATAGATTGTTTCATCTTTTTAATTGATCATGATTTTTCCAAGGTAACAATAGAAACATTACAAAAGCTATTAAAACAATAGGTAACAC